GGAGGGGGAAAAGAGTGCTACCTTGAGTTAGAACTGATTCGATGGCAGTGTTAAGCTGACTTAATAGCAATTAGCAACAACAATCTTTAGACCCTAAAAAGCAGAATATTTTTACAGTAAGAAAGGACTATTAAAAGGTATTGATTACATCTATTAAATTTATCATTTGTTTTTCTATCTTCAAATGAGTTATACCTTTTCTGGTTTATAGTTGCTGTTGTTATTCATTGTTGAATTGATGCTGGAAACATAGATCTAAATCTTGTCCTATCCTGTCATTATGTTGCTGCTGTTATTATGTGTTATCAAGTTGAAACTGACTCAGAGCTGACTCTCTAAGGGATATTCAGAGGCTGTAAACTGCACAGGGCGAGACTGCTTATCTCTCTTGCAGAGCAGTGGTTGGGGTTGTACTACATGCCTTTAGATGCATAGTACCACTCCTTACCATTAGGCCACCAGAGCTCCATATCCTATAAGTTGTTGTGTGCTGTCGAATTGGAACTGATCCGTAACTGACCCTCCACTGGGTTTTCAGAGGCAGTAAAACACATGGGAGTAAACTACCCATCCTATTCCCACAGAGTATCTGGTGCATTTGAACTGCATGTTGTTGGGATTGTAGTGCAGATCTTATAGAAGAAAGTAGAGCTACACCAAAGGTTTTCCAAAGCTGTAATTTTTACAGAAGGAGGCTGCTAAATCTGTCTCTCTTGATGTAGACATAAGGCTTGAACTGTTAACCAATTCTTATTTGAGTGTTTAACCATTACACCACTAGGACTGGAAAAAATATCTATTTTGCGTGTTAAAAACAAAAATGTCCATTTGAAGACTAAGGTGCACTTAACCCAAGCAATGGTATTTTCAATTACATCATATGCATGCAGAAACTGATTAATGAACAAAAGAAACTGAAGAGGAATCAACATCTTTGAATTATACATTTGGAAAGAATATGACATAAACCATGATTGGCAGAAGAACAAATATATTCGTTTTAGAAGAGGTACAGCCAGAAAGTTCCTTACAAGCAACAATGGAAAGACTGTCTCATAGACTTTGGGTCTTTTTTTCAGGAGGGACAATTCCCAGAAGAAAGATACCAAGCTTAGTAAAAGTAGAAGGTAGACAAAAAAAGAACACATTGGATTGGCACCGGAGATGCAACAATAAGCTCAAACACAGCAACAGCTGTGAGGATGGCTCCGGATTAGATAGTGCTTCTGCTGATGCATACAGGGTCTCAATGAGTTGGAACTGACCAGATGGCACCTAACAGCAAACATTTGTTCAACTGTGATATGCAGTCAGAACAATGTGCTATATTTTTAACAGGCTATGTGTTGAGCAAGACCTCGACACACTCTAGACAACTCAGGAACCAATGCCCTAAGTATCAGACCAAGCAAGGTAAAGAATATTGAAAAGATACACTCTCTACTCTTCTTTTCAGTGCATTTTTAGGTCTTTATTTGCTCTGTACCAACGTGGATGAATTACAATGTGGCCAATATGTTATAATTTCAGAAAGCAGAAATGTCAACCAGTAATTTCAGTGAACTAAATCAACATAACCAAAAGCTTCTGAAAGTTTCATGTGTATTCTCATATATCATTTCACAGAAGCCAAATTATAGGCATTAAGAACAAACTCATTACCACCAAGTCCAAAACAACTCATAGCTGACCCTCCAGTGGGTTCTCAGAGGGTGCAAATGACACTGGAGGAGACTGCCCATCTTTCACCCATGGGGTAAGTGATGGATTCAAACTGCCTGGTTGGCTGGCAAATCAGGTCATCCGAATTCCATTAAGAACAAATTAGCTGTTCTTAAAATTGACATTGAAGCATAACTTTTACATAATAATCAGTTGTTGAGGCATTAATATATAGGACAATGCTTTTTTATTCTTATTAATTTCAATAAAGATTTACAGAGATTTTGGATTTGCATTCATTCATTGTTGCACTTCCCCCCAGCCCCCAATCGCTCTTCTCTTTGAAAAGCAAAAGAAAAATTCCTTCATTGGTATATAATCCCCCACCCCGGAGTATATGCCACTCTGCAACCTTCATTCCAGACTCTTACGATAATCACAATGCCCTATAATATATTGTGTTTAAACGGTTCTTTCCCTCATCCCTTTCAATGCAGTATGCATAATTCATCCAGTTTTTCTCATTCTTGCCCCAACCCTGATGTCAGTCCCATTCTACGCTGCATTGAAAAACAAGGAACTCATGGAATATTGTTTAAAATGGGTGACCCTCGAAGACATTATGCTAAGTGAAGTGTCTCAGTCACAAAAGGACAAATACTGCACAGTGCCACTGTTGTAGAATAAGACAATACTTTTAAAAGTCCATTTACTAAAAACTTTTAGTAATGACATGTCAGACAAGGGACTTATATCTAGAATTTATAAAATACTCGAGCACCACAACAAGATAAAGGTGAATAATCCAATTGAAAAATGGGCACAGGATATGAACAGACACTTCACCAAGGAAGACATTCAGATGGCCGACAAGCACATGAAG